CAGAGATGCGGCGCGCCAACGTTGCATGTCCACGGTGTGCCAACGCTGCAGCAAGTCGGCTGCACAGCGTTGCACCTGCAGGACAACGGTGCACCTGCTTCGCAGGTGTGCGCGGCTGGTTGGCGCCCTATGTCCCGTCACATGCCCAGCGAAGGCATTCCCGTTCATGACCGCGCCCATCAGCCACGTCGACCTCGGGATACCACCCCCATTGTCGTCATCGCAGAAACTACCCCGGCGACCTTCGCACACGTCGCCCGGGTATCCCGGTCGACCGGGCAACCCCGCCTGGTCGTCCAGCCCACTCGGACGCTAGCTACATCAATCCCGGCGTCCCAGGTCGGCGTCCTAGCGCCCACGTCGGCGTCCACTCGCCCAGGACGCCGTCCAGGCACTCAAGTCGGCGTCCAGGCGCCCGGGACGCCGAGCAGACGCCCAGGACGGCGTCCAGGCGCCCAGGACGCTGAGCAGAGGCTCCAGTTGGAGCCTAGGCGTCCAGGGACGCCGAGCAGACGCCCAGGACGGCGTCCAGGCGCCCAGGACGCCGAGCAGACGCCCAGGACGCCGTCCAGACGCCAAGGACGGCATCCACATGCTCGGCGCCCTCCAGCCAGGCGCCCCCCAACACTATGCCATTGCAGTGGCCCCCGTGCCCACTGCTGCAGGTCGGCTGCATCTCCCCCGTACACCCGACCACGAGGTCGGCTCCGCCCAAGCGAGGACGGGGCCGAACACAACTCCCGTTGACAGTCTGCGGTGCTCTTATTGGAAGTGAAAGAAGCGGTGACAATTCCGCTTTATAAAAACGGGTGACAATGATCAGCTTAACAACTACCTTCCTATCACGCTGCTCAACTTCATCTATAAAGTGCTGGCGCGGGTCATGGCGGACAGAATTAAGAAGTTCTTGGGAAGGGTGATATCGCCGGAGCAATATGGTTTCTTACCGGGGAGGCGGTTGACGGATGCAGTGAGACTTGTTGTCGATATCATCAACACCGCACAAAATGACAACAAGGATTGGTTCCTCTTATTCGTGGACTTCAGAATGCCTTTGACTCGGTTTCACGCGGCTACCTGTTCTCGGCGATGAGGGCGATGGGCTTCCCAGATCGATTCGTGAAGTGGGTAAAAGGCCTGCACGAAGGGACACAGACGAGCCTGTTAGTGAATTGCTGGATGGTTGAAGGAGTGGAGGTGGTCTCTAGAGTTCGGCAGGTTTGCCCTCTCGCGCCTTACCTCTTCTTGTGTGCGGCCGAACCATTGGCGTAAACAGTCCTTAAACAGTAGATGGGCATCAGCAAGGCGAGTGAAAGATTGGCGTACATTGGGTATGTGGATGGCACCACGTTAGTTCTGGAAGGGAAGCAGCAGCTAATCAAAGCCAAGCAAGTGCTGGCAAACTTCGACCTGACCTCTAGGCTAGCGACAAACCGTAACAAGTCGGTCGTCCTACCGTTGGGGAACAATCTTGGCAGGACAATCGGCCGGACGCACAGTTTCAGATGGGCGAAGGAGGATGAGGCCGAAAAGCTGCTGGGCGTGTGGGTCACTCCTTCGGATAGCTGCCTGCCAACATGGGAGAAAACTTCGTGTAGCTGCCTGCCAACATGGGAGCAGAAATTGCTACCGACAACGGCGTGAATGGCTGTAGTCAACAGCTACACGATGCCGAAGGCAGCATTCCAGGCGCAGGTCTACCCGCTACCAGCAAAATAGTGGGGCACTATTTCCAAGAAATTTGAGAACTTTGTATCCGGGAACACAGCAACGGCAGACAAGGTGTTTCGGCTCTGGAGCAAGGAGCTGCTGTATACACCAAGAAAACTGGGAGGGATGGGAGTACAGGATCCAAAAATGATCTTGGCATGCCTCACGGCGAGAAGAGTGGGGCTACTGACGCGGAGACCAATCAATTGAAAAAGCATCTGATGTTACGAGTAGCAGATTTACCCATGGGCATCGAGACGTTTTTTGCCCACGAGAAGCTGCTGAAACATTGGGAGGGAAAAAGCGCTCGTTGGAAAGTGGCGTGTGAGAATTTCATGAAAACACCGCTGGGGATTCTTCCTGAGGCAAGCACCCAAGAAGCAATGGAAAGGGAGCGGATCATCTTCAACGAACAACTCCTGCTCAATGGGACTACATCGATTGGGGACATCAGGATGCAAAGTCGCTGTGGGAGAAACGGCTAGGCGACCTGCTCAAACTTGATGGCAACGGCGTTTCTGAGCTCAAGGATCTAGCTACTCTGGAAAGAGAGCTTGGAGGGAAGGGGGCTGCTAAGTTGGCGAGGAAGGTGAAGCTGCTCCCCAGAAGTGGAAGGAGCTGCTTCTCAGCGCACCTGCCCAGGGGCACAAACATCCAACTCGGCAGGGACCAGGCGGGTATTCCACTCTGCAGGGCACAAGCTTCTAAACCCCATCTTTGAAAACGGGGGGATTGCGCCTGTGAAGCGGTTGAAGCTGCTCCGGAGGGAGGGGCAAAAACCATCTGCGAAGCAGCAGTTGTGGAAGGGCAGGTGGAACGGGCACATCAACTGGAAAAGGACCATTGCTATCCAGGATTCTTTGGTTACATCGAGCGAACCGCGGGGGGTCCTGCTGCTTATCCATAACCTGAATCTGCAATTGGGAGAGCAGGTGGTTTTTTTGAGCAGTAAACTGAATCTGCGGAGGCATGGAACACTCGAACACTGCCTCTATAGTCTTTCCACGATTCAAGTGGTGACATCTGCACTTGTGAAAACCCTCCGCACGCTGACAGCTCGCGTGTGGTATCATCCCTGGGTGACCTGTTCTTCCGGAAGGCGGGGCCTTCCGGAGGCAACAATCACATCCATTACACTCTATCAGATGTGGGCGGAGCGTTGTGATGCAGTCTTCAGGAGGGGAAATTTCTGGACAAGGCGGGTATTCCGCCGTATTGAAGCAGCTTTCCGCTTGCATGCAAGAATCTACACGAGATCAAGGGACGCCGAGGTACACAACATGAAGAGAAATTTTGCCGCGCGATGGAGAGCGAAAACAAACTACCGTTTCAAATCAGTAACAAAAACTGCAAGTCGTGGGCATGGACGAAGGCTTTCACAAATGTCCGGCTCGCACCGAGGATGACCTACCAACCTCCTTAGATGCCGCACCTGGGCAGCTACGTGGCCACTCTTCATGCATAGTCATGACTGTTATTGTATAGTTATGCTTGCTCTATCGGTGTACAAATCAATTACCTAAAAAAAAAACCTTTGCGATATGAGTGGCACTAAGAGTAAGTGCGTTACTTAGCGGAACGAGTGGTAATAAGAGTAAGTGTGTTACTATACCCGTTTAGGTGGTACCAAGAATAAGTGCAATATGAGTGATTAAGAGTAGGTGCGATATGAGTAGTACTAAGAGTAAGTACGATTCTTTGATGTATAGACTACCAAGACCCAGTGCGTTACTTTTCCATATGAGTTGTAGCAAGAGTAAGTGTGTTTCTTAGCAATCTGAGTGGCACTAAGAGGGTGTGTTAATGAGCGATATGAGTGGTATTAAGTGTACGTTCGTTACTTAGCGATATGAGTGGTACTAAGAGTATGTGCTTTACTTAGCGATATAACTGATACCAAGAGTGAGTGCGTTACTTGGCGATATGACACTTACTAAGAGCAAGTGCATATACTAGCCGTACGTGTGGTACGATAAGTAAGTACGATATTTTGCCGTATGAATGGTACCAAGAGTAAGTGCGTTACTTAGCGATATGAGTGGTACTAAGAGTAAATGCATTACTTAGCGATATGAGTGGTACCAAGAGTAGCTGTGTTACTTAGCAATATAAAAAAAGCCTCATCAATGTCGCAGGCCTTAACGTTAATGGCTTTGGAGATAAGACCAAACAGCAACGAATTCTAGAGTGGATTAGACAAGCAGTGGATATCATGATATTCTCAGATACTAGAATAATCTCTGACCACCCCCTCTGGACTCACTCCACTTACAGTTTAGCAGCAGCTACCTCACCTAGATCGAAGGCTGGAGGAATTTCTCTGCTTTGTGGATCATAGCTCCTAAACTTTAGCAATGTGTTAGTCCATCCTTCGGGTAGATTAGTATCTGCAGTGATCCAGGGCCTCGGCCTGCAACTCACAAGCATTGCCTGTTACTTCCCAGCTAACCCGACCTCACGCGCCGCTTTCCTGCGTGATACACTTGGTCTGGTAGTAGATCTAACTCAGCTAGCCAATCACCTGCTCATCATGGGAGATCTCAATATCATAGAAAACCCAGTATTAGAAAAGTCGTCGCGGTTAGGTTCATCTGCTGAAAATGAAGGCTCTTCAGTCGCTGCGCTGTCTTCCAGTTATCAGATGCTTTTAGAATGCTCCACACAAGAAAACGGGAGTTTACCTTATCTCCTACGCAGATGCTTTTAGAATGCCCAGAAAGTTAGCACACGCATAGACCGAGAACTTATCTCCCACCCGCTTTTACCTGATCTAATCCAATCTTTAAATGTTATGCCGGCAGACTATATTTCAGACCACAGTTTTGCGATCCGTATAGCTCTCCGCATAGATGCGAAGCTCAGCATTGGTCCCGGGTTCTGGAGGCTTTACGCCTCGTTGGTGCACAAACGAGGTGTCCAGAAAATTGTGGGGGCGACGGTGGAGAGATGCGATGTCATGGAGGGAAGCAGCTTTGAGTTGCTCCTCTCACGGCTGGCCGTCGATCTTCGAGCGTTCGCAAAGGAGGGAAAGCGTGTTACGGCGACGGCGACTCATCTGGTGGATGTTGTCGCAAACCTCCGGCAGGCGATGATGCGGGATCCATCCTGCGAACAGATGAGCGCATTGTTAGCCGTGAAGGAAGCACATTTGCGGGAATATCAAGCGTCGCGGAAGGACAAACTACACCTGATGTCGTGTATGCGTATGGAGCTCAGAAGAGAGATGACGTTGCAGCATCTGACGGCGATGGCAGGCAAGGAAGGCGAGCACTCAGATCGCAGAACTGCAGATGACGAGCGACTCTCAGGGGATCCTCCGTGCAGCATCAACGTTCTTCGCGGATATCTTCGGAAGGGACCGTTGTCAACTGGAGGAGAAATGGTGCCCTGATAAAGACAAGACACCGAGGTCGTGGGAGGTGGAAGAGTTGTCACCGGACTGGACAAGAGGAGGTGAATTAAGCTTTTGGTGCAATGGTGGCAAACAAATCTCCGGGGAAAGACGGCTTACCGAAGGAGCTGTTCGAAGCTCGCTGGGAGCTGCTGGGGAAGAGGTTCATGACTCTTGCCAAGGATTTTGCGGCGTCTGTGGTGCTTTGAACGGAAGTGAAAAGAGTGACAAGGATCAGCTTAACAACTACCGTCCTATTACACTGCTCAACTTCACCTATAAAGTGCTGGCGCGGGCAGACAGAATGAAGAAGTTCTTAGGAAGGGTGATATCGCTGGAGCAATATGGTTTCTTACCGGGGAGACGATTGACGGATGCGATGGGACTTGTTGTCGTCGATATCATCGACACTGCACGAAATGACAACAAGGATTGGTTCCTCTTACTCGTGGACTTCAGAAGGCCTTTGAATTGGTTTCACGCGGCTACCTGCTTTCGACAATGAGGGTAATGTGCTTCCCAGATCGATTCGTGAAGTGGGTAGAAGGCCTGGATGAAGGGACACAGACGAGGCTGTTAGTAAATGGCTGGATGGTTGAAGGAGTGGAGGTGGTCTCTGGAGTTCGGCAGGTTTGCCCTCTCGCGCCTTACCTCTTCTTGTGTGCGGTCGAACCGTTGGCGCAAACAGTCCTTAAACAGAAGATGGGCATCAGCAAGGCGAATGAAATATTGGCGTACATCAGGTATACGGATAGCACCACTTTAGTTCTGGAAGAGAAGCAGCAACTAATCAAAGCCAAGCAAGTGCTGGCAAAATTCGACCTGACCTATGGGCCAGCGACAAACCGTGACAAGTCGGTCGTCCTACCGCTGGGGAACAATCTCGGCAGGACAACCGGCCGGATGCACAGTTTCAGATGGGCGAAGAAGGATGAGGCCGAAAAGCTGTTGGGCGTGTGGGTCACTCCTTCGGGTAGCTGCCTGCCAACATGGGAGAAAACTTCGTGTAGCTGCCTGCCAACATGGGAGCAGAAATTGCTACCGACAACGGCGTGAATGGCTGTAGTCAACAGCTACAAGATGCCAAATGCAGCATTCCAGTCGCAGGTCTACCCGCCACCAGCAAAATAGTGGGGCACTATTTCCAAGACAGTTGAGAACTTTGTATCCGAAAAACTAAGCAACGGCGGACAAGGTGTTTCGGCTCTGGAGCAAGGAGCTGCTGTATACACCGAGGAAACTGGGAGGGGTGGGAGTACAGGATCCGGAAATGATATTGCCATGCCTCACGGTGAGAAGAGTGGGGCTGCTGGCAAGATTGATGGCAACGGCGTTCCTGAGCTCAAGGATCTAGCTACTCTGGAAAGGGAGCTTGGAGGGAAGGGGGATGCTAAGTTGGCGAGGAAGGCGTTTGAAGCTGCGCCCTAGAAGTGGAAGGAGCTGCTTCTCAGCGCACCTCGCCAGGGGGCATAGACATCCAACTCGGCAGGGACCAGGCGGGTTTTTCACTCCGCAGGGCGCAAGCTTACCGACTTCCCCATCTTTGAAAATGGGGAAATTGCGCCTCTGAAGCAGTTGAAGCTGCTTAAAACCAGCTGCGAAGCAGCAGTTGTGGAAGGGCAGGTGGAACGGGCACATCAACTGGAAAAGGACCATCGCTATCCAGGATTCTTTGGTTACACCGAGCAAACCGCGGGATTTCCTGCTGCGGATCCATAACCTGAATCTGCAAATGGGAGAGCGGGTGGATTTTAATGACGTGCAAGTGGTCATCTCGCAGCACCGCCATGACAGCACCGTTTCTGGACTACAATTTCTTGGACTCCACATCGCCACCTCATCGGCGCCTTGGATCATCAAGACGAAAAATCCGCGCCAAGCTCTCACTAGACCACACAGCAAGGAATGGCGCAAGGCGATGGATGCAGAAATCAAGGGGCTCGAGTTCCGCGACACCTGGGTGCTAGTCGACCGCGCTGCAAGGAGCAATGATTCTCTCTGGCAAATGGGTCTTCCACGTAAAAACTGCAGCGGACGGCACGATTGAGCTATTCGTAGCGCGCTGGGTGTTGCGCGGCTATGACCAGAGGCACGGCATCGACTTTGATCAAACATTTGCACCTGTAAGCCGTCACACCTCCGCCAGGATCCTGCTCGACATCGCCGCCGCGAGACACTTACCACTTCGCCAAATCAACGTGAAGAACGCGATCCTGTACGCGTTAGTAGATGCAGTCATCTACGTGGAGCAGCCGCACACGTACGGCGAAGGAGACTCGCGCATGTGTCAGTTGCGGAAGTCCCTTTACAAGATCAAGCAGGCGCCGAGGCTCTGGCAGTAGTACCTGCACAACATTTTGCTCGAGATAGGCTTCAAGCAGATGCCTCATGATCCAGGAATGTACCGCCGCGATTTCCGCGGGGATTGCATTTTGCTTACCGTCTACGTCGACGATCTGCTGTACACAGAAACGAGAAACAAGGTGCTCGAGCAATTCCAAAAGAATCTGGCGGGGCGCGTTCACATTACCTGCAACTACGAAGCGAAGCAGTTTTTAGGACTTAATATCTCCTACGCGCCAGAAGCCATTCACCTCTCAGCGGCTAAGTATGCAGAAGAGCTTGGCAAACGCTTCAACATTTCACCTGCGCCGCTCTCCACTCCTTACCGCACCCCCAGACCGACCACAAACCCGACAACAAAGCCCTATCCCCTGCTGGAATCCAGACTTACCAGCAGCAGCTGGGATGTCCGTTTTTCTCCTCTGTTACATGCAAGCCTGACCTTTCTTACATCACGAGCCAATTGGCTTAGTACTCTCGCAAACCAACCGCTAAGAACCTTCTGGATCTGCAGCGCGCTCTACAGTTATTCATCTCCACGCCGCTACTCAACAGTGCCAACTCCATCCTTCAACCTCATCGGCTACGTGGACTCAAATCACGCAACAGACCCCAACAACTGATGGTCCAGAACTGACTTCCTGTCTTGGCTCGAGCCAACGGGACCAATCTCATGGAACTCGCAGAAACTGGGGCTTGTTGCCCTGTTATCGGCCGAAGTTGAGTTCATCGCCGTAATAGCAGCAACCTGCAGGAACTCATACAGTCAGCTTCGCCCACCTTTCACATGCACTTCGACAATCAGAGCGCAATCCGTATCGCGAACAGTCAAGTCAACATTCCCTTTGTCCACTTCATCATTAACTTACTGCCCGACAGGTGACATGGCTGATGACTTCCTGACGAAGCGACTGCCACGCCAGCAGTACCAGCACTGCTCCGAACTCAGCGGAGTAGTCAAGCATGTCAATTCGAGCTATGGCCAGGAGTGAAGGGGGGTGCTACGAATAGTGAAATATGATTTTGCACTCCTAAACGCAGCAAGTGAAGCACACAATATCGAGGCTGAACACGAAGTGTCAGAGTTGACTCGAAAGCGACAAAGACAGTTGGAGTGGATCTGGACCGTCGGAGAAGACGGCATCAGGCAGCTACAGGAGCAAGGGAATTGGCGGAAACAGCTTTGAAACTGTACGCACAGCACGGTTGGGTTTGAATTTGAACAAGGGAATGCACCCCTTGGAGTACATTTCTAGCTAGGTCGTATCTTATTCCACTCGTACTCATATTTCTATGCCTGTATTTGCCTGTTTTAATCATCCCAAACATATTACATTCACTCTGTTTTTAAGTCAAAGGCCCACCACCTACCAATCAGCTGCGTGCGAACCTTTTCGATGTGATAATAGGGACGGTCAATTTCTGACCGTAGCATTAGCAACTTTATCATGTCCACTTCGATCCTTTGGTTATAACAGCACTATTCATCAAACATGCACCGCCTGGGCGTGTCAGCCTATGCTTCGGAACTAGCCTGAACCTAATGGCAGCATCGCACTAGCTAGCTCGCACGCACCGCGTTACCGTTTGCATATTTCGCTCATGTATTCACCCATGCCTTAGGGTGCGGTGCTTTTGATGTATTTTGAATGATGTTCGAGCCTCAACCACTTCGCATCGTGCATAATCCTTTTTAAAACATATTTAACTGAGCAATACTTTTCTGCAAGTTCAAATCAGTGTAGAAGTTCAACATTAAAGCACCGCGCCTTAGCTCATACCTAGTTCTTTTGTAGAATCCTCGTTATCGCATTTAATTGCAAACAAATGCGAACTTCGAAAGCAAGGACAGTCAAAATGGCGCAAGTCACACGAAAGGACAAGGCACAATGAATAAGATTAGCGAAGCTAGGGTTTGTGGAGGCGGATGGAGAGCTCGTGGGGCTGAAGAACGTGCTGTGGGTGCCGGACTTGTGCGCAAACATGATTCCTATCGGCCGATTGGGAGATGCGGGTGTAAACACCGTTCATAACGCGTACAATGTTGTGCCGAAGCGCACATTACGCGAGTACCTAGTACTCGGACCCGAGGATAGGGGCAGGTCTTGTACCAGGCACCCAAGGACCTTTGGAGGTGACCCCGAGGAGAGGTATTAAGTTTGATTAAGTCCTTATAGCTTGAGTTTATTAGGCCCTTACACCAACAGGTTGTTGTTTTCCCAGGTTGGAAAAACAGAACCAAAGGTTGTTTACCAACCTACCACCTGCTATTTTGTCCAGCCAGGTTGGTCTTGCTTGGAATTATTTGGGATCATCCCTGGTTGTTCCCAGGTTGATTCCCAAGGTCCTTTCTAGCAATAACTATTTAGTCCTCTGTTTGTACCTGGATATAGTCAATTGATTCAAGCGGATTCCTTCCTTGCTGGAATTTTGTTTCTACGCGGTTCGACGGCGTAATGCTACCCGAGTCAACGCTAGTACGCTAGCACTCCAACGCTAGGCAAACGCTGTCAACGGGAGTGTTGTGTGGCCCCGTCCTCGCTTGGGCAGAGCCGACCTCGTGGTTGGTTGTGCGTGGGGGATGCAGCCGACTTGTAGCAGTGGGCACGGGGCCACTGCAAGGGGCGCCTGGCTGGAGGGCGCCGAGCAGGTGGACGCCGTCCTTGGCGTCTGGACGGCGTCCTGGGCGTCTGCTCGGCGTTGTGGGTGCCTAGACGCCGACCTGGGCGTCTGCTCGGCGTTCCTAGGCGCCTGGGCGCCAACTGGAGCCTCTGCTCGGCGTCCCGGGCGCCTGGACGCCGACTTGGGCGCCTGGACGGCGTTCTGGGCGAGGGGACGCCTACCTGGACGCCATAACGCCGACTTGGGACGCCGGGATTGATGTAGCCGGCGTCCGACTGGGCTGGACGACCAGGCGGGGTTGCCCGGTCGACCGGGATACCCGGGCGACATGTGCGAAGGTCGCCGGGGGTGGTTTCTGCGAGGGCGACCTCGGGGTTGGTAAAAATCCCGAGGTCGACGTGGCTGATGGGCGCCGTCACGGGCGGGAATGTCTTCGCTGTGCACGTGACGGGACATTAGGCGCCAACCAGCCGCGCACACCTGCGAAGCAGGTGCACCGTTGTCCTGCGGGTGCAACGCTGTGCAGCCGACTTGCTGCAG